AACTATAAACACATCTCAAATGGCACTGTTCCTCACTGTTCTTTGTTTCACCAAACTCAACACGTTAGACTTAAAGCCAGTTCTCCCTGTGTAAAACGTTTGTGACAGTTGCCTTCCACTGTGCCTTTCTTGTTCCTTGTTCAAGTTTTAAGGTGAGTGAGTGGTGGGGAGATGAATATACAATAAATGTGAGAGTACTATATGTACTCTATATGTATACTTCCAAAAGATGAAAATTTTTCCAGATGTATTTGGAACACAAACACTTTAACAGAACAATAGGTGTTAATTGAGCTGTGTCATATGCTAGATAACATATAACAAAAAACAACAAAACAGCAGTCAGCTACAGAAATTGTACTTTTAAGGGCTAATTCTGGAAAAGAGTAGCAGAGCCAAATACCTCTGGGCTTAATTTCTTAGCTTTTGTCAAAGCTACAGTCTGAATAATACTGCATAAAGTCACATTTTGACTTTGATAACAGATATGAAAAACTATCACATCAAATTGATAGAACAGGGCCTTTTTAATAGAAAACACATATTAGGAAAAAATATGATGTACACATGTATGCACACAGAAACTGAAGTGTTAGGCACATACTCATATCATGTGCCTCAGGTGGGATGTCATTGTCTCTATAATAACATGTATTGGTTACTGAGAGCTTATTAGGTGCTAACTGCTTGGCTTTTATTACCTTTGGAGCCCTCACCACAATTCTATGTCATAGCAATAGATTTCCCTAATTTTACAGGTGAGGAAACTGAGACACGAAGATGTGATATGATTTGCCCAAGATAACAGTTAGTGATAGACTCAAGCTTAAAATGGAAATGATCTAATTCCAATGCTCCTGTTCTTGATATTACACAGCATTTTTGCTTCACAGATGCAAGTTATAGCTTCAAATATGCATATATATTTATATCTTTAATATATTTATACATTTCAGTTTCACTCCTGACTACTACAATTTATCCCCATACTTAATCCTGATTTAAAAAAAAAAAAAAAGCCCATGTTAAATTTGTGGCTACAGTGTAAGAGGCATAGATAACAGAAAAGATACTTTAAGTATGTTATAATATTTAGTCCTTAAAACTCCCTTAAGTAGTGGATTAGAACTTCACTTTACAATTGGGAGAAACAGAACTTAAAGGATTGAGTAATTTGTTCAAAGTCACACTGCTAACAAATGGCAGAATTAAAGTCTAAACATTACTGTGACTCCAAAACTTACATTATTAGTACTAAGCCACTTTTTCTATTAATAACATTTATTTTCGAACTCTTGGGGTTATGTGTTGTACCTAGATTCTTCATTTCAAGCAGAAGTATCTATTCTGACTTTGCTTTTTCTTAGAAACTATTTTCACCTAGGTTTTCTTGTTCCTCTGTAAATCCTCCTTAAGTACTTTTTTCCTGTTGAGTCTCAGTTTGATTTGTTGGGATTTCTCTTCTCCAGCTAGAGGGTGAGTCAGTGATTTAAAAAGAAGTTTTAAATAAATGCTCTGTTTTTTTCTAAAGAAGTTTCTGAATGCCTCCAAAAATTCACTTGAAGATCTGAAGCCCAGAGAGGCAGAGGCCATAAATATTTAAAATGGGAATATGTTGTTTTAGTTAAAATTTATGGAGTGATTCAGGACTTCAATTCAATTTTCATAAATTGACATAATGAGGTCTCAATGAGAAATCTGCCTTAAAATTACCATGGGCTCTCTGGAAGATGAGTCTCTTAAAAATGCCTTCATTTTACTTGTTAGCAAGTTCGTGACTTCAGGCTCAACACATCCAGGAATTGAACAGTTCCATTCCTGTTTTTATTATCTTGCTAATCTCCCTGAAAGCAACTTTGATGGAGTTTCATGTGTCACCACTTCCAGCCTTAAACACTCAGCCTGGCAAAGGGAACTACATAATTTATCAAAGCAAAAATTTTGTTCCAGTTTTGGGACAATTTTTCTTACTTTTCATGAAAATCTCAAGAAATTTGGAAAAAATAAGAACTAATTTTTACATGTAGGCTGCTTCCCTTTGTTTATGAGTTTGAGTACTGATATGTTAGTCAAAAATATTTTCTGGTGGTGTTGTTACAGGATTAATTAACTATCTGACCACGTCTTGACATATTTCAATTTTGGAATTTAGCCCCAAAATTGGAGGCTAGGGAGTTTGCTTAAAACATCACTGGAAAGTTCTAGGAGTAAATAATATGACTAACACAACTACAGCCTGAATGACATCACAACCATTGAATAGGTGAAGACTCTGTAAGAACAGGAACTGTATAGATTGACATTGTAACCAGCTCAGTTCTTGGGGTAGCAGATACTGAATAATCATTTGATGAAAGTGAATTCGCTGCCCCTAAAGAGTAACATGTAACGAGGAAAATAAATTTAAGCTCTTAGTTGTTCATTTGGAGAATGTCTCTGTGATTCAGAATCTTCCCTTAAGACAGTCATTCTCAGTGCTGGTAGGTTTTGTCCCCCAGGGAGCATTTAGTAATGTCTAGAGACACTTTCCTCACAATTGGGGTAAGAGGTACTACTGGTATCTAGCGGGTGGAAGCCAGGGTTGTTGCTAAACATCCTACAATGCACAGGGCAGCCCTCCACAACAAAGAATTATATGGTTCCAAATGTCAATGATATGGAGTCGAGAAACCCTGCTTTAGTTTTCCTTCATGTGGAGCTAGATTTAACATCCCAGGATCTAGAATTTGAGAGGTGAGTGTATATGGCCCAAAAAAAAAAAAAAAATTAAATTAAATAAATAAATAAATATTCTTCTTATTTTTCCCAATCTTACTCCCTTAAGAGCTTCCAGAAAAGCAGTTATAACTGGACTTATCCAGGAATTCCAGAGAAAATACAATCTTCAAGGCCATTTACTGAACTCACTAGAAAGAACCAAAACTTATTTTTCTGTCTCAGCCTCTTGGCTCTTTGCCTCTTAAGAATCCTCCCCCACTTTAAACAGCCTCCCACGCATTCTTCAAGTATATTGGTTGTAAAAGCACAAAACCCCTGGGCACTCCCCATGAAATAAAGATCATATCCCAAGTAGAAGTTAAGTGCTTTCATAATTCACTTGCGGAAGTATACAGTTAGTCTGCACACCCTATAAATTGTCTTTTAAACATCTTACTGTGCTTTCCCCCTTCATATTTAATGGAAAATTTAAAAATTGCCTCCTCAGATCTCTATTTCCTGCTTAAAGTGGGATCAAGTAGTTATATGGTAAAATTTCATCATATATGTTATTCCTTTTGATAAAGTCTAGAAGAAAGTATGACATGCTCTCCCTTGCCAATCGAACATCAAATGGTGCATCTGTAAGCTACTAGTCAAACTCATATAATGGAAGAAAATATTGGTATGAAATTTGGGATACTGTGGGTCAGGTTCTGGTTCTCCAGCTGACTGTGTGGCTATGGGAACATTGCATAATCTCTATAGTCTTCAGCTTCTTCATCTGTAAAACAAGGAAGTTGGATTGTAGTACCCAACTCTTATTCATTCTAATTAACTGACCGGAGTAATTTCAATCTAATACTATGATGAATGAGAGAAAAACAAAATGACTTGTTTTAGTATGCAGATGCTCCTCAACTTACAATGGGTTTACCCAATAAGCTCATCACAAATTGAAAATGTCAAAAATAAAAAATGTATTTAATACACCTAACCTATGGAATATCATAGCTTAGTGTAGCCTACTTTAAATGTGTTGAGAACACTTACATAAGCTATAGTTAGGCAAAATCATCTAACACAAAGCCAATTATATAATAAAATGTTGAATATCTCATGTAATTTACTGAATACTGTACTGAAAGTGAAAAGAAGAATCGTTGTTTGGGTACTTGAAATACTGAATGCATATTACTTTCACACCATAAAAGTAGAAAAACCGTTAAGTCTAATCATTAAGTCAGGAAACATTTATATTGTTACCTCTCAAGTATTCCTGCAAATACTCAGTTAAGTAGTTAATCTTCTGGAAATCTGAGCGATTAGGAAGTTACTATGGACACATGCTTTGATTAAGAAAGCAGTCTTCGGCCTAGTCTCACTGTCATCAAAGTTTGTAGAGTGTTGTTACAAAATGTTTCCAGGATTTGGGGACACATTTACAACAGAAAATTTTGAAATCACCATAATCAAAGTGAACTCGTAGGAACACAGAACTGTTAAAAATAGATATATTGTCCAAGGGATACTACCAAATTCTTGAGATCTTTTCTCTCAGAAGTTGAATTCTTTCAGAGGACATGTTAGAATCATCCTTAAAAATATATGAGAGCAGCCTATACTTTTTAAACTTAATCAGGTACACCAGCTGGATTTTTGTGGTTGCAGAAACAAAAATTAACCCCATGTGGTCCTTGGGCTCCAAGGTAATCTTTGCCTTCTGGTATTCACACCCTTGTATAGAACCTTTCCACAATGAATCAAGGCTAATACTGGCTGACCAACAGAATGGGCATAATTATAAACATTGAAAACATCTCATTACATTTTTTTCCTTTATAACTGGAAAATTAAAGATTTGCTTCCTCATATTTCTATGATCTGCATGTAGCTCCTGAGGTGAGACCATACAAAGAATTTCAGTTTCCACTTTGGTCTCTTAGATACTTACTGTGGGAAAAGACTGCCATTATATCTTGAGGATACTCAGGAGAGTATCATGAGGAACAAAACTGAGCCAAGAGCCAGCACCAACTTGCCAATCATTTGAATAAGCACTTCAGAAATAGACCCTCCATCTCTGGTCAAATCATCATATGACTATAGGTTGAGTCAACATCTGATTTAACTTCATGAGAGACCCTAAGCCAGAATCACCTGGCTAAGACACTCCTAAATCCCTTACTCACAGAAATGGAGAAATAATAAATACTTATTGTTGTCTTAAAGCCAATAAGTTTTAGAGTAATTTGTTTTGCAGGAATAGAAGACAAATATATGACACTGCTTTTTCACGAGTTTGCCACCAGAGCACAGGTGTTGTGAAAACCACCCCAAAAGCCAAAATGGGAAAGGAAAAGACGCACATCAACATTGTCATCATCGGACACGCTGATTCGGGCAAGTCCACCACCTTTGGTCACCTGATCTACAAATGTGGCAGTATTGACAAAAGAACTATAGAGAAATTCAAGAAGGAGGCTACTGAGATGGGAAAGGGCTCCTACGAGTATGCCTGGGTCTTGGATAAACTGAAAGCTGAGTGTGAATGTGGTATCACCATTGATATCTCCCTGTGGAAATTTGAGACTTGCAAGTCCTACCTCACTATCATTGATGCCCCAGGACACAGAGACTTCATCAAAAATATGATTACAGGCACATCTCAGGCTGACTGTGCTGTCCTCATTGCTGCTGCTGGTGTTGGTGAATTCGAAGCTATCTCCAAGAATGGGCAGAACCATGAGCATGCCCTCCTGACTTACACACTGGGTATGAAATAACTAATTGTTGGGCGTTAACAAAATGGATTCCACTGAGCCATCCTACAGCCAGAACAGATATGAGGAAATTGTTAAGGAAGTCAGCATTTCCATTAAGGAAATTGGCTACAATCCTGACACAGTAGCATTTGTGCCAATTTCCGGTTGGAATGGTGACAACATGCTGGAGTCAAGTGCTAACATGCCTTGGGTTAAGGGATGGAAAGTCACTTGTAAAGATGATAATGCCAGTGGAACCACACTGCTTGAAGCACTAGACTGCATCCTGCCACCAACTTGTCCAAGTGACAAGCCCTTGAGTCTGCCTCTCCAGGATGTCTACAAGATTGGTGGTATTGGCAGCACTGTCCTTGTGGGCTGAGTGGATACTGGTGTTCTCAAACCTGGCATGGTGGTTACCTTTGCTCTAGTCAACGTTACAACTGTAGTAAAGTCTTGAAATGCACGATGAAGCTTTGAATGAAGCTCTTCGAGGGACAATGTGGGCTTCAATGTAAAGAATGTGTCTGTCAAAGATGTTCGCCGGGGCAACGTTGCTGGTGACAGTAAAAATGATCCTCCGATGGAAGCACAGCTTGGCTTCACAGCTCAAGTGATTATCCTGATCCATCCAGGCCAAATCAGTGCTGGCTATGCCCCTGTACTGGATTGTCACATTGCTCACATTGCATGCAAGTTTGCTGAGCTGAAAGATAAGATTGATTGCCGTTCTGGTAAGAAACTGGAAGATGGCCCTAAATTCTTGAAGTCTGGTGATGCTACCATTGTTGACATGGTTCCTGGCAAAGCCCATTTGTGTGGAGAGTTTCTATGACTGCCCTCCTCTGGGTCATTTTGCCATCTGTGATTTGAGGCAGACAGTTATTGTGGGTGTCATCAAAGCAGTGGACAAGAAGGCTGCCAGAGCTGGCAAGGTCACCAAGTCTGCCCAGAAAGCTCAGAAGGCTAAATGAATATTATCCCCGTTACCTGCCATCCCAGTCTTAATCAGTGGTAGAAGAATGGTCTCAGAACTATTTGTTTCATTTGGCCATTTAACTTTAATAGTAAAAGACTGGTTAATGATAACAATGCATCATAAAACTTTCAGAAGTTTTTCCTTTTTTCAGAAGGAAAGGTGAATGTTTTGTGGACCATTTTCGTTTTTTTTGTATGTGGCAGTTTTAAGTTATTAGTTTTTGAAATCAATACTTTTGGGTTTTTGTTTTTGTTTTTGTTTTTCTTTGAGTTGGAGTCTCACTCTGTCACCCAGACTGGAGTGCAGTGGCCGCTCCTGGCCACCGCAGCCTCAACCCGCTGGGCTCCGGCGATCCTTCCGCCTCAGCCTTCCAATTAGCCGGAATTACAGGCGCGCACTACCACGTCCGGCTGATTTTTTTATTTATTGGAGAGATGAGGTCTCGCTACCCAGGCGGGTCTCGAACCCGTGGGCTCAGACAATTCACTCACCTCAGCCTCCCAAAGGCGCGGGATTACAGGCTGAGCCACCGAGCCCGACGAAATCAATACTTTTAATGAAAACAACTTGACCAAAAATCTGTCACAGAGTTTTGAGATCCATTAAAACAAAGTTTAATGAGAAAAATATATATATGACACTAACATAAAACAATATAAATAAGAGATAATTTATTGAAAGAAAATGTGGAAGTTCAGAGAATTGAAAGAAACACCAGAGAAGACTCAAATTCAAAGAACAAATGTGAGAATCTATGATGCATGACATAATGATTTTCAGGGAACAGCTACTTAAATGAATTGGGGACAGTTATTTTCAGTTTTTCCTATATTCTGCCTGGAAAACAGTAAGTAACAATTTTTTGTTTAATTTGATTTTGGAGATATTAGAGGTGGTCTTCGTTGTCAATGATTTTCACAATTGCCATTCTGTATTAATCAGAATAGACTTCAATAAATAACCCAATGTCTCAAATATGATAGATTCTTTTTTCTTGCTCAAGCAAGAATACTGGACAAGGTAACACTCCCCTTTGTGGTAATTTAAGGACTTAGGCTACTGGAGTCTCTGCCATCTTTAATGCATGACATTCAAGATTTTCCTGTGAAATATTCCCATTTCAGTCCATCAGAAGGGGAAAAGATGACAGAGAAGCACACACACAGTGTGTCTGTGGGTCAGTCCCGTAAGCCTAACATTCCATTGGCCAGAGCACAGTCACATGGCTTCACCTTATTGCATGGGGTTGCTGTGAAATGTAATCTTGATTCTGATAACCACTTCACTCCATCTCTCCTACTACTAAACCCATCTCAGCTGCCACCATCTGTCCCTGGATACCTGCAATAGCTTTATAGTTGTTCTTCCTACTTCCACTCTTACCTCCCTACAACCCAGCTTCCACGCAGAGGCTAGAGTGATCTTTTATAAAATATGCAAATCAGAGCATGTCACCTTCAAACCTGCCAATACTACACACTGACATTATAATAAAATACAAATTTCTCACTCCACCTGGTAAGACCTTAGATAATGTAATCTCTGTCTGATTCTTTGAACTCATCTTCTATTTTCTCTCCTTTGTTTGCTGTGTTCAATATATGCTGACCTTCTGTTCCTCAAAATCTCCAACTCTGTTCCATGTGCTTTTTTTTTTCCTTTCTGCTATGTGGGAACTCTTATCCCCACCCTCTTACTATGCATGGTTCCTTCTGATCTTTCAGGTCTGAACTTCTTCCAAAGTACCTTCTCTGACCACTCCACACTTCATTCCAGTAACTTTTTATTCTGTTTTCATCTTCTAGTTGCTTTATTACATTTAACACTATCTGAAGTTATTATACTGATGTCCAATTTTTTTTTCTTGTTTCTGAGACAGGGTCTCTCACTGCAGCCTTGAACTCAAGTGATCCTTTTGCCTAGAGTATGTGTTGCCCCACCAGTTATTTTTTGGGGAGAGGAGGATACAGACAGGGTCTCCATATGTTGCTCAGGCTGATCTTGAACTCTTGGTCTCAAGAGATTCTCCTACCTCTGACTTCTTTGTAGGTTATCTTCTTCAACTAAAATGAAACTTCATAAGAAAAAAGACACTTATCTGTGTCTATCTCAGCTACACAGCATGTCCCCTGCACCTACAGGAATACTTGTCAAATAGTAGGGGCTTTCTTTGAAAAACTGTTTCCATAGCATGCAGAGCACAGTTGGCAGCCTAGAAATCTCTGAAGGGATGCAGAGGAATCCCATACAATTGAAAGAAGGTCAGGGAGAAGCCATGAGATACATATCACCAAAAGAAGGACATATTCCTAGCAGAATAACCTTTGTTCAGGTTTATAAGATCTTACATGAACCCCAAAGCTTGAAACCAGTTGCGTTTTCAATCCATTGCTATTCTTCTTCAGGAGGAAGTGAAAACATCTAAAAACAAGTTAGAGTTAATTGAATCCATTTATTCTCCCCTGTTTCTTTCCCTGCTTCCATAAATAAGTAATGTTTAAGGAAAGTGAAGGAAAAAGCTTATGCTTTCTACTAGTCATACCAGAGCTATTATTGATGTATTACGTTGTTGTAGGCAAAGGACCTAAAGAAGAAATGCTCTGAAAAGCGTTCTGCCTTGTAAAATCACTTGACAAAAGTTCTGTCATACTTTGGGGACAACAATATATATATTTCACAATAAATATGATGGGAAGATACATCCTTGGCTCCAACATGAATGTTTTGGTGGAGACTAATTATAGCTAATAGTCAGGTAAGATATTTTTAACATATCAGAAAACAGATCATGGTGCTTCAAGTCACAGTTGTTTGTTCTCATCAGCTTTTGTGGGTTGACTGGGAATGGGTGGGGATCCAGAGTAAACTTGATTTGAGCTACATGTCTGGCTTAACTTAACCACTTTCTTAGGGCTGGGATCTGGCTTGCTCTACACTTGTTCCTTTTGGAATCTAGAGCTGAGAGACAGCAGCTTCCTGGGAGAAGCTCCTCATTGTGGTGACATTGGTGTTAGAAATCAAGTTGGTCCTCTTAGGAACTAGACTCAGAATTGTCACACTGCTCCTTCTACCTACATTCCATTGGCCAGTAGAAGTCATACAGCCAAGATTCAAATGAAGAGTGGAAGAGGGGATTCCATCCATGATAAGGCCACAGAAAGGGTGTGGTATAGGGAGGGGTAAGGAGTTGGGGCCTCAAATTCAATCAAACACAGGGTAGAACCTAAGTGTGCCCATAGAAAGTTCTACCTAGCAGTGGAATACAGGCACATGTGTATATAAGTACACACTTACCATAAAATATGTATCAACATTTAAGATCATTTTGACAAAGTAACCTGATCTCCCTCAAATTGAGTTTCTATGGTGAGTGATTATGTAAGACTAAATTATGATGAATTCCATGTAATTATTTCTGAGTAGAGGTACCAATGGCGAGACTTTCTGATGAGTTGGCACATTGCTGGTTCTTCTGCAAAAGCATTTTAATAACTCCAAGTTATTGAGGCATATATTTGTATTTGGTTTGGGGGATAGGTTTTTGAAATACATTTTTTCATAACATATTTTCTCTTCTTCATTCCTGCTTTTAAAAGGGAGGCTTACAGATGTTGATGAGGCTCAGGATGGGGTGGCAGAGAAAAGCTTTTGGAAACATTTTGCACGGGTACTACAGTTTCATTGAAGTGAACTCTTCCTGGAGTGTGCTGCTAGGTTGAGGTCTGGAGCTCTGGGTCTCCTTCTAGATGGATTACAGTTTGGTTTCTTCTCCCTAAAAAAACAGAATGTTATTCCTGCTCAAGGCCAGAGTCAGCAAATGAGCCAGGTCTTTCTAGAATTTCAGAGGAACTATCCTGTGGATGACAAGACAGAAGAGACTGGAGACCTTCACTTCTAGATTGTCCCTCATTCCACAATGCATGGTCTTCTCTGGAGACTTCTTTCAGGGTAGGTGCCCATCATTTACATACAATAGTGTGTCACTTTAACGTATATTAATATTTTAAGGCTCTTTAAAAAATTATGAAATGAAACATTTCACCTGCAACAATTAGAAGTATCTGTGCTAGATGAATACAAACAGACATGGATGGATTTAAAATCTACAACAGAAATGGGCGGTAGGAAAAAAACTAATTGTGTCGAAGATATAGAAATAAATATGAAAATATATTATAAAGTGTATATGAAATATATTAAATAAATATAGAGGCAAATAAATAATTATATATGTAATATAAAATTTAATGTACACATATATTAGCATATTGTATACAATATATGTATATTATATAAATCATAAAAACCAAGAAATGCAACATATAAAAATACATTTATTATAAGAACACTTACATACAAAAAGCCTTTATTAAACACAGTTGTGTCATTATAGGTGTGAAAGGAATGAGAATGGAGAATGAGAAAGGAAGGAAAAGAGAATAAATAATTAAATAACAAATAATATGGGACAATGATGATAACAATGCCAATAAATTAAGAATATAATTAACTTAACCCTGTACCCTTGAGATCAAAATTAAGAAACAAACGAACAAAAAAATGATAGGGAAGGAAGAGAGAAAGGTAAGAAAGCAAAAGGAAATTCTGCATACTTGTTACAGCCTTTTCTGGGAGTGACGTGGCAGGAGAGAAAGTACTATTTGGAGACTGTGGGGCTGATGGATCTAAATCAACTGGAATAGCACCTACTGCATAACAAGCACTCAGTGAGTATTTGTTGAATTGATCTGCATTGAATTGAATTGCCCAAGAAGATGGGTTTATTTTTCTACATGCTCAAATTCACATCTTTTAGGCCGACCTCATTATTTCTGTAAAGAATGGCCACAATAAAATGCTAGAAAGAGTCATAAAGTCTAACTGAACCCAGTAAAGAACACATTCTCTTTTTGTTTGACAAGAAACATTCTTCTTTTTTTTTTTATGGTGATAGCTATCACATTTCCTTTGGAGGAGGATCTCATCTCATTCTTA